GCCAGCCATGCTGAGGGGAAAAGGAGAGGTTTCCATGCTGGCTCAGGAATTCTGGGAGTTGAAGTCCAAGAGTCATAAAACAAAAAAGGTTGCCTAACCCTGATCTAGGTCTATATCTATCTATCTATCTATCTATCTATCTATCTATCTATCTATCTATCTATCTATCTATCTATCTATCTATCTATCTATCTATCTACCTACCTACCTACCTACCTACCTACCTACCTACCTACCTACCTATCTATATATCTTCTAGGTCAGGGATAGGCAACCTTGGCTCTTTTATGACTCGTGGACTTCAACTCCCAGAATTCCTGAGCCAGCCACGCTGAGGAGAAATGGAGAGGTTTCCAAGCTGAGCCACGCTGGCTCAGGAATTCTGGGAGTTGAAGTCCACAAGTCATAAAAGAGCCAAAGTTGCCTACCCCTGGTCTAGGTCTATCTATCTATCTATCTATCTATCTATCTATCTATCTATCTATCTATCTATCTATCTATCTATCTATCTATCTATCTATCTATCTATCTATCTATCTATCTATCTATCTATCTCTATCTATCTATCTATCTATCTATCTATCTATCTATCTATCTATCTATCTATCTATCTATCTATCTATCTATCTATCTATATCTTCTAGGTCAGGGGTAGGCAACCTTGGCTCTTTTATCAATTGTGGACTTCAACTCCCAGAATTCCTGAGCCAGCCGTGCTGAGGGGAAAGGGAGAGGTTTTCAAGCTGAGCCACGCTGGCTGAGGAATTCTGGGAGTTGAAGCCCATGAGTCATAAAAGAGCCAAGGTTGCCTACCCCTGACCCCTTCCTGACAGTGAGAACAATTAATCAGTGGAACTCCTTGCCTCCAGAAGTTGTGAATGCTCCAACACTGGACGTTTTAAAGAAGAGATTGTACAACCATTTGTCTGAAACTGTATAAGGTATCCTGCCTTAGCAAGGGGTTAGACTAGATGACCTCCAAGGTCCCGTCCAACTCTTCTCTTCTCTTCTCTTCTCTTCTCTTCTCTTCTCTTCTCTTCTCTTCTCTTCTATTCTATTCTATTCTATTCTATTCTCTTCTATTCTAATCAAGGTCACCATACGAACATTCAAAGTTCACGTGCAAGGGGCCCCATTTTCTATTCCACAGGAACCTTACCCGACTTGTAAAACTGAAATGCCGAACTCCGGGCATCCACTCCGACAGAAATTGGGCCAATTGTGGCCACCGCCTGCAGAAGTCCCTTTTCGTCT